ATTTATTTTCCTTTAGAGAACACCTAAAAATAATAATATATATATATGGTGAAAATCTCAATAAATTTCCTAAAGTAATACTTGCACTGAACATATTTTCTAACTGTAACACAATAAACCCAGAAATAAATTTGCTTAATGTTTACCATAAGAAAAAGCCCAAGCACTGGAAATTGAAAAACAAATTTAAAGAGGGAATAAAAAATGCAAATTGAAAATGAAAATACTATATATCAAAATGTATGAAATGTGGACAATACTACACATAGAAACAAGACATAGTCTAAATGCTTTAATTACTAAAAAGCAACCAGCAGAGTAATAAACATACCAGGAAAGAACTAAAAGAAATTCCATGTTAAGTAACAGTTAGAAAATAATGAAATGTTTAGAAAATAGAAAAAAATTGGAACATCTACAGCTTTGACAATAAGGAATTCATTTTTTTAAAAAAGCTATTACAAACAATGGTATTGGTATATTTTTTGCCCTGAAAATATTCACAATATTTTGTTAATTGAAAGACAACAGGTTAACAATAGTCAATGTATTTTCATTTTTTATAAAGTACATATGGGTAAGCATAGAAATAAAATAATAAAGTAACATTTATTAAGTGCACATGATGTACCAAGCACTGTTTAGGTGTTTCATATACACTGATTGATTCATACTCATAAGAAATCTATTTAGTAATTCTAGGAATTTGCCCAAGGTCATAAGTTATCAAGGGGCAGAGGTCTGGAAGAAGGCACATCAAAATGTTAATAGTATTTGTTTCTGACTGATAGGATTAGAGATGACTTTATTTTGTTTTAAATGACCTGTGTTTTCAGTTTCTCTACAATGGATATGTATTACTGCAATAGATAGGTAGTACGTGAAATAAAGGGTTTTTAAAAAATGGAAACAAGATATTTAGTTAGGAAACCAAAAAATGAGTAAAACGACAAAAATCTGCGAGAAGAGTCTTTGAAAAACAGTGATAAAATGTCTGACCATTTCAAGGACAAAAGACAAAAATTTAAAGAAGCAAAATTAGAAATGAGAAATGGAATGGGCAACAGCTAAGATATTTTAACTAAAATATCTATAAATAACATCACGATATATTTTAAAACATCAGTGAACTAAATAATTACCTGGAAATAAATAAAACAGACTCCAATAGATTTATAAAAATCTGAATAGAGGCTTGCAAATGTTAAAGATTTACCTTCTCCGAACGGCTTAAGGCCCAGATAGTTTCATAAACTATTTCTTTTAAACCTTTAAAAACAGTAATCCTCAGGCCTATTCATATTCAATCTATTCAATATATCTAACAAATACAGCAAAAACCTGATATCAAAACCCGAAAATTGCAACACAAGAGAAAAAATTATAACTAATCATGCTTACAAAATTGACTATAAGCATTCTATATAAAATACTAATACAACTGTGGATATCGTGACTTATAATAAGAAATATATATTTGGTCCTCATCCCTGTTTCTTAGCACACAGCTCCCAAAACTCTTGGAATTTCCCAAAGTGATAAGGGTCTTTCGCATGCTAATGAGATGACTGGTGGCTAGGGGTTCCCTCAGAATGGGGCTAGTGACCAGGGCAACCAATCAGCTCAGGTTAGAACTTTCAGCTCCACCCTCTCAACTTCTGGGGAGGGGAGGGGGCTGGAGGTTGAGTTATCACTAATAATCAATGATTTAATCAATCATACCTATGTAAGAAAGCCTCCATAAAAATCCCTGAACTGCAGACTTCAGAAAGCTTCTAGGTTGCCGAACATACGGAAGTGCTGGAAGGACGGTACACCCCTCCATGAGGGCACGGAAGCTCCAGGTCCCTTCAGCCCCATCTTTAGCCATATGCATCTCTTCCATCTGGCTGTTCCTGAGTTATATTGTTTCATAATAAATGGGCAATCCAGTAAATAAACTGTTTTCCTGAGTTCTTGAGCTGTTCTAGCTAATGACAGAACCTAAGCAGGAGGTCCTGGGAATCTTCTGTTTGTAGGCAAGTTGGACAGAAGTGGTGGGTAACCTGGGGCCCCACACTTACAAATGGTGTCTGAAGCTGAGGTCGGGAAGAAGCTGTTTTGTGAAACTGAACCCTTAACCTGTAGAATCTGATGGTAGATAGGAGATAGATCTCCAGGTAGATAGTGTCAGAATTGAGTTTAATTGTAGGACATTCAGCTGGTGTCTAAGAATGGCTTGGTAGGAAAACCCACATATTTGTTGACCAGAAGTACTGAGAGTAGAGTGTTGAGTACACAGAAAACAGAGGAGTGATCTTCCTTTTCAACACGGTAATCCCCATGTCATATACTCTACTCAATTCATCTAATAAATATAGCAAAAACCTGATAAATAAGACCTATAAACTGCAAGACAAGAAAAAAATCATAACTAACCAAGCATACAAAAGTGGATATAAGTATCCTACATAGAATATTGATATAATTTAGTAGTAAATCAAAAGAATAGGGGGCCAGCCCATGGCTGAGTGGTTAAAATTCTGTGTGCTCTGCTTCAGTGGCTTGGGTTCGCGGGTTCGGATCCTGGGCACGGACCTGCTCCACTCATCAGCCATGCTGTGGAGGGATCCCACATACAAAGTAGAGGAAGGTTAGCACAGATGTTAGCTCAGAGTTAATCTCCCTCAAGCAAAAAAAAAAGGGGGGGACGATTAACAATGGATGTTAGCTCAGGGCAAATCATCCTTCTCTCCAAAAAACAAAACAAAAAAAGAACAATTAACAATGGCTCAGTTAGATATACTCACAGCACACAACGATGGTTTAATATTAGTATATCCATTAGAAATACATTCTCTAATATGTCAATAGGTCAAAAAGGAAAAACATCATATACAATTATTTTAATAGATGATGGAAAAGTTATTTGTTACATTCAACTTCCATTCTGGCTTAAAAACTCTAAGAGAGGTAGACATATAATAATAAGTCTGTAATATGATAAAGAATACCAAGCTAAATAAAATTGTCAGCACTGCTACACCAGACTCTCTAGTGACTAGATATATTCCCTGTAAATCAGGAAAAAAACAAGGATTAATGAAGATGCCTGTTGAACAGAAGGTACAGGCCGTTCCAAACCACCCATCCACATGTTTGTCTCTTTGAGGTCCTTCTCCTCTTCAGGGATGGGACCAAGTGAAGTGAGGGAGGTCTCTAAACTGTTGAATTTAAGGAGACACTCTTGGGGGTTTGGAATTGAAGGGTTGGCCCTTGCGTGACCCTGACTGTGAGCAACTCCTTAAAGTGGGTGCTGTCAGAGCCTCACTTGCCTCAACTAGTCCCAGCCCTGCTCAAATTCCCTCTCCTGCATACTTTACTAGCTCTCACTTCCTGAAAGCTCAGGTCTGCCATTTGCAGCCAGCCAGCCCATCTCCAGAACTGCAGATTTCTTAGGAAGAAATTATACAGCAGTCAACAACGAGCCACGTTTCTGAGTTTTCCAACTTCTCTCATTGACTAAATACAATTACAGCCTCCCCAAACCTTTAGTCCTGTTCCCAAAGAAATCAACTTCATGAATTTGCTAGAGTTAATCTCCGAAGAGCAGATTCTTTTATATCTACAACATATGTGAGAAATTTAAAAGTTGGGAAATTAGTTTTGGTTTTTTTCTTTTTTTGAGGAAGATTAGCCCTGAGTTAACATCTGCCACCAACCCTCCTCTTTCTGCTCAGGAAGACTGGCCCTGAGCTCACATCCGTGCTCATCTTCCTCTACTTTATACGTGGAACGCCTACCACAGCATGGCTTGACAAGTGGTACCATGTCCACACCCGGGATCTGAACCAGCGAGCACCGGGCCCCCGAAGCAGAACATGCAAACCTAACTGCTATACCATGGGAAATTAGTTTTCAAATCTTTTTTTTTTTTTTTTGAGGAAAATTAGCCCTGAGCTAACATCTGCCACCCATCCTCCTCCTTTTGCTGAGGAAGACTGGCCCTGAGCTAACATCCATGCCCATCTCCCTCTACTTTATATGTGGGATGCCTGCCACAGCATGGCTTGACAAGCAGTACATAGGTCCACACCCGGGATCCGAACTGTTGAACCCCAGGCCGCTGAAGCAGAACGTGCGAGCTTAACCGCTGCGCCACGGGGCTGGCCCCAGGGAAATTAGTTTTTAGATATTTCTTACAATATATATAACGTTAGGGTCCCAGACAAAATATTTTAACAACTTATTGCCAATTATTCTCTCTAGCTGAAAGAATTTTAAGAGTAAAATAAGATAATGTATGTGGAAAAAAATTTGAAAGTAAAACTACTACATAAATGTTGACTATTATTAGTTACTATTCCCTTTTTATCTAAATGTATCTTAGGCATATGGTCATATATTATTAGAATGCAGCATATTACAAGAGCAAAAAACTAACTATTTTTGACGTAATACTAAAACTTAATAAATAGCGCTTTGGTAAAGCTGACTGAAGAGTGTTACAATAACTTTACTTTGTATAAATCTATAGACGACATCATCCTAATGGCCTAAATCCAGGTGCTTTCTTTCCACATGTTGAAAGAAATAAAAACTGACAGTAAAGTAGTCTATTTGAATATCCTCCATGATATTTTCTTCTTTGAGAGGCAAGTGCTTGCTATTGAACATGTTTCTCAAGATACAGCAGAGGCTTACCAGACTGAAGGTGCATCTAAGGGATCATTTTACAGAAACATCCATCCCAAAAGGTGATAATTTTATTGAAACCAAACTATTTCACGTAGGAACAAGATAGGCCTACTACTCACATAAATAATCTAATTAAGAGTCAAGAGTACAAGATATTTAAAAATATAACAATAAATTTTTAACAGAATAATTTATCTCTACCTTATCAATAAATGTCAGCCTAAAATAGTTTTAGAAAGTATTCCCTAATAAGCTAACGATCAACATTTATTGAGTATCCTTTCTGGAATTTTCACTAGTAGACTAATGATTATACCACTCACCTAATCGCATCATTGGTCTCTGTAACAGCTCTCAGGTACTCCTTCAAATAAAAATAATCAAAGCAGTATTTCCGAATCTTATAGCCTCGCCATCGCCTCTGAATCTATTGAAGTAAAAGAAAAAGATAAAATATGCCAGAGAACATTTTTTTAGTGAAAATATTAATAATTCTTCAAAATCAAGGTCATGATGGATGATAACTAATATCAAACAAAGTGTTAGGCTTTTCCACTAATATAACTGTTTATATAGTTGCAAATGTAAGTTTTACCCACAGATTTATCATAAAATATTATAAAGACAAAAACATGTCATTATACATATTTTTAAAACATTTATAATTGCCTTACAAATACTAAATGTGAAATTAACTATTGAAAGATTAAAAATTTGCTTTACTATTTCCTGCCATTTCCACAGCCTGACCACATGGATCTTTTGTTTTTCATAACCAACTGACTTGAAGATTGCATTTGGTCTCATGGAAATCAATTTTTTAATGGGCTTTTTAAATTCAGCGGTATCAAAGTCTCTAAACAAAGTGTTGTCTTGTATCTTCATCATGACATTTTAATACTTCTTTAACAACAGTTAACATTTATTGAGTTCTTACTATATACAAGGCACTATTCTAAGAGTTTTGCTCTCATTTATGTGTTTAGTCTTTAGAATACTGCTATGAGATGAAATACTCATGGGATACTGCTATGAGATGAAATAGAATACTGCTTAGGGATGAAAAAACTGCTAAAGAGAAGCTACGTAATTTTCTCATAATTATACAGCTGCTAGTGATGGACCTCAGAGAGCCCATTCTCTAAACCACTGCAATATGGAACTGGGAACAAAGTGAACTGCAATTTTCAATGAATGAACATTTCTGTTGAAAGTATCTGTTTTTTTCAGATGAGAGGGATGTTGGGGGAGTCTAAGAGAAGATACGTAAGAGGGCTGCTAGATGCCTTATAATGCCCCAATAATCATGAGAATCAGTCAATCTCCCCAAGCTCTATCTTTGCTAATATTACCTCTATTAGAAAAACTCAAAACAAAAAGAAAAATGTATAGGGGCCAGCCTGGCGGTGCAGCGGTTAATGCACACGGTCCCCTTCTTGGCGGCCCAGGATTCGCTGACTCGGATCCGGGGTGGGGACATGGCACCACTTGGCAAAAGCCATGCTGTGGTAGGCATCCCACATAGAAAGCAGAGGAAGATGGGCATGGATGTTAGCTCAGGGCCAGTCTTCCTCAGCAAAAAGAGGAGGATTGGCAGTAGTTAGCTCAGGGCTAATCTTCCTCAAAAAAATAAAAATAAAAATGTATAGATCTTAATTTTGTAGGAAAAAAAACTCAACTTCTTTAAAAGACTAGAGACAGAAGAAATAGCAAAAATTGAAAAAATGTTCACTTAGCCTTGCATAAAGATTTAACTTTATTCTCTAAAATTTTCTAGCAGTTTTGCATACATTTATGAGTTATTCACATATTATATATGATTCTCTTTCTTGATACGATGTCCTTCCAATGTTTTGCACAGTTAGCTAGGCTAGGAACACACATTTTCACTAAACATTATTTTTTTTTAATAGGAAAGAGTAATTACTATAGAGATTATACCTAAGTGCATTTGGTTTTATCTCATTTGCCTATGATTTTTTAACTAAATATGTTGAGTTTACAATTTTTATAACTTGAACATTGGAGCTATAGGAATAAATAGGAAAAATGTTTTACTTTAATTCTGATCCTTTATTTTTCTCTGTTTTAAAATATGGCCATTTAAAAGACTCTAAAGAAGTGTTTTAGTTAACCCCAGTATGAGAATGACTAAAATAATTGAAGTTATGCAAAACTGCTGGTAAGAACAATTAAATCAAAGACAATAATTCCAGAAAGTAAAACGAAGTGAAATAGCAAGCTAATGCAACAACGTTATAGAACGTCTTTCCAAATATTTTTCAAATGATCTTATTTTAGAGATTAATTCTTTAAATGCAAATTAATTTTTCCAAAATTATATACTCAATTTAGAAACTATCTCCCTCTAATTTGACCAAAATCATATTACAACTGATAAGGAAAGAAGAGGAATTGACACAAAGCACTTTCCTAATGAAAAAGAATCATCAATTGGAATATGTATACATGTATAAATCATACATGCAAATAGGTGAATATTTTCCTGGCTTATCTAATTTAATCATTACAGTCTCATTCTGAGGTAGAAATTATTATTAGCCTCATTTGATAGAAGAGGAAATTGGTATTTAGAGACGGTAAATAATTGCCTAAGGTTATGTACCTGGTTGGATAACTTCAAATGTTTCAGCATACGCTTACTGCATGCATAGTAATGATCGTATTAAAGAAGAAAAGACTTGTAAACAAAAGTACCTACAGAAAACCCATCATCAGCAACAGGAGTGACTCAGGAGGCAAGAGAAAATATTGGGATATCAAATAGTGTTAAGGGAGGCACTACCTATCACATGAAAACATCATTAAGTTCTAAATAAAATAAGATTAAATGTGCCAGGAAACATAAAAGATGCATGCTGGAGTGTCAAGAAGGAAAGAGGAAAATGGTGATTTATGACTACGTCATATCAGCGTAGTGGGCATGTGAGTGGGTGAACAGACCGCCATCCAGTCAAGTGATTGCTAACTTCTTTCATTCTCATGATAACCTTGTGAATAGGCCATGATCTCTGTTAGAAATGGAGAAACTGAGGTTAAATAACGTGATCAAGGTCACATAACCAGTAAAAGAGGAAATAGCAGTCAGGATACAAACGGAGCTCTGTTGTGGTCCAAAGTCCACTAAAACATCTTATGGATGGACCAAGAAAGAGAGAAAGAGCGCGTGGACGTGTTACAAAGAGAGAGAGCACAGACGTGTTATAAAGAGAGAGAGCGTGTGGCTGTGTTCTTAAATTTAAAAGATATCATTTTCTTATACCACAGGGAGCCCAGTTTAACCAACAGCTAATTGACATGATAAGACACAATATGCTGAGGTTCTACTGTACTTCCTGTTATAGGAACAAATGACATATTGAATTTCGCCTAAATTTCCTGTTGATATCCCAGTACTAGTGAATAAACTTTTAATTAGAAGGAAAAGTACTTTCAAGAGGCAAGATGACTTTTGATAACATTTCTTCTTAATTTCAAGGTGAAGGGGTTAATACTTCCAAAAAACAAAAGGGAGGGGCTAGTATTCATGTCCTTCAAAGTAATTAGCAACTTTCAAAAGTGATTGGTATAAAACAATTATTGTCATTGATCAGCTCTGAATAGATAATTTTAAACAAAGCCATTGTGTGCTCAGCAGATTACAGCTTGTTAACGGGCAAGTTCTAAATGACCTCTTAAGCTAGTCAAATCAATGATGCATATTCCTCATTAAGTAACATCAAAATGTAAGTGGTCTTATAAATAATGTTTATTTTAAGCCGTAAAACAAATGGCAAAACCTTGCTATAGCAAAAGCCATCTGCTCATAGGAAAGAGTTTCCCTCCACTGGCTTTACTTTTATTCCTCAAAATTCAAAGTAACCGGAATGCTATCAAAACAGAGAAAAAAATAACATTTTCTCACCTAAAATTAAAATGAAGACATGGAAAACAAATTCATCGATAATAACCTACCTAGTATTAATGCTCTAAATGTGTATGAGAGCAAAGAAGTAGAACTCAGTTATTCACAATTACACTATTAGAATGCTCAACATTCCACAAAACTCTACAGTGAGCACAGAAGAGTGGGTCTGCTAAATTTTCAAAGATGGGGTGTTTAAAATACAGTAAGTTCCAAGTTTTCATTCTAGCTGTCACTGCATTATCATGTCAAAAATATATATATATATATAAATCTTAACTAGATATTTTTAGCTAGCAGAAGATTCTGGATAATTATTCCAGGGGCAGTTTCTTCTCTTTAACATTCCATTTCCCGACTCTATCTGACGTTATACTTGCTTTCTCTACAAAGACATTTAATCATTTCATGATGATATTGGGACTAGAAGTAGCAGGAAGGGAGAAGAAATAGTCTTGCCTGATGATGGAACATTTAAATAGCTGTCCATCATCAGGCAAAAGCTCAGGATTGTTGAGATGGTCCCTTCCCCCATATTTCTTAGGCTGACATTTTGGGACGCCTTTTTCTGCATGAACAAGACTGTGTCTTACTCATTTTGTATTCCTAGAATCTAACATAACGTCTAGTATATGAGACCTTCAGAATCCTTTCCCTGAATTAATTTGTCTATTTAACTGTATCTATCTAATCTTAGAGTCATTATTCTAAACATAAATACTTACTTCATAGTATTAAAAATATGAAAATAGGATTATAAATAGTTTAGGACCTTGCGATGAATCCTTGTATATCTGACACATATTTAACCATTTTTATTTTTATTTTTTTGAGGAAGATTGGCTCTGAGCTAACATCTGTCACTAATCCTCCTCTTTTTGCTGAGGAAGACTGGCCCTGAGCTAACACCCATGCCCATCTTTCTCCACTTTATATGTGGGACACCTGTCACAGCATGGCATGCCAAGTGGTGTATAGGTCCATTCCCAGGATCTGAACAGCAAACCCTGGGCCACTGAAGCAGAAGGTGCAACCTTAGCTGCTGCGCCACCCGGCTGGCCCCCCATTTTTTAATTAAAGACACCATCTAAACTCTTCTCATATTTTTTTTATATCTTAAACACAAGTGGGAAATAAAATAAAATGGGTAATTGATGTTTCCAGTTAGATTAATTTTTGTAAATTAAAGTTTTTTATATAGATCCAGAGCTCTAAGAGGAAAAAGCCAATAAAGTTATGGTTATTTTTCAAGTGGGTTGTTTTAGTCTAGCGCTTCTCTTGTTATTATAGTTTTTATTTTCCTTAAAGTGAGGGTTTCTACCTGAACTAAAATGTTTTGGGGCACTAATTTCAAGTTAAATCTTTTAAAACAACTGCAATAATAAAGGATCAGTGAGAACCTCCAGGTTCCAGCAAAATATCTCTAAGTAAATATATGCGATTGACCAATAAAAGGTTTCCAGGGTAAAAGGAATTCTACCGGAAACAATCAATTACATCTGTAGTTCTTTAAAACTCTGTAAGCTTTCGATTATCACCATTTTTCATTCCTCATAGATCTTTGAAACCGAAAGGAAAAAGTCTGATAACATTTTTGTTTTTGAGGAAGATTAGCCCAGAGCTAACATCTGCTGCCAATCCTCCTCTTTTTTCTGAGGAAGTTTGGCCCTGAGCTAACATCTGTGCCCATCTCCCTCCACTTCATATGTGGTACGCCTACCACAGCATGGCTTGACAAGCAGTGCGTAGGTCCACACTGGGGATCTGAACTGGTGAATCCAGGGCTGCCAAAGTGGGCCATGCAAACTTAACCGCTGCGCCACCGGGCCGGCCCCTCTGCCCAGTCTTTGGTCGGCCTGAGATGACACTCAAGTGCTTAAGTAGATGCCCGCTAGAACCAGAAATAGAGAGTTATTTCTGCCAGGCTGTCAGAAGATAGATAATTGTACATCTAGATGAGACAGGGAGAGAAATGAGTTGAGCAACTGAATCATAGCGTAAGATTTGTATAAGATACTGAAAGGTATCAAAGAAAGAAAACTGAAAATAAAAGTTGGAGGCCAAATTTAAATAAGATCCACAATGGCATGCCCAGGGTGCTGGAAGAAAAGTGGGACCCTAATCTGGAGCAAAGTAAAATTGAAGACCAAAAGGCAATAGAGTGTCACACAGAGAAACAGGGGGAATAGGGTCCCAGGAGCTAAAATAAAAATTTACTGAGCAATTTATTGCTGTATTAATTGACTTCACTGGCCTAGCAGCAAATCAGTAACAGGGGTTTTGTAAAGGCAAACTGTGGGTTCTGACAGTAGCTTATAGCATAGCAAAGCTCCTTCAAACTTGTACTTATCATGGTCCTTTGGCAAGGACCCAAAGCACCTGAGGTTTTGCATTCCCGTGCAAACTGCACTAACCAAATGTTACCTTACCATCCAGTTTATCCACACCACACACGCTAGTCAGGTAACAAAGAAAACCTTAAAGATCCCCCAGCAAAGGCTTAAATAATTTCCAATAAAGGCACTTGGGGACTTAGAGAAAAAGTATTTAGAACAAACGACTTTTATTTTACTCCTTGTTTAGAAAAGAATGAGTCAACATTCATTGACTTCTCCAGGGACATTTATTTAACCACCTACTATAAGTCAGGAACTGTAGATTCAGAGACTCAGAAGATAGGATCCGGGCCCCAAGGGGCTTACAGTGTGTAGGGGGTGGATGTAAATTAGTAAGGATAATAAAATGTTACAGGTTCTATAACAGAAGTATGCCAATGGTAAAATAGGAACATAAAAAGAGAGAGTGATCAATTCCACAAGGTAGGGGGATCATAAAGTCTTTAGACAAAAGGTGACCCTTTAAAAAATAAATGCAGCAAATCAGGCTACGAATATCTGTTACATAAAAAAATCATATACACATAATTTATTCTTCATTATAAAAGAGAGAGATCTGGTTAGGAATGGATAGGCTAAAACTAAATTTTTTAAATGCTTCTCTTTTCAAAAATGCTCCGCTAGCCTCTTGGGCAATTGACTATAATGTACTTGTTATGCTAGGAGTGAACAGTTAAATATATAACTTGCGTTTGGCTCAGTACATGAGGCAAATTAAGACAAAAATTTTCCTTATCGATTGTACGTGAAGATCCTACTCATGATTTGGGTACCTGTTTATCTATCTGAATATTATTGGCCACATAGATTTTTGGCAGTTATGTTACTCTTAGAGGTTCTTCTTGAATACTCACGGCCACCCATATTTAAATCATTTCTAGGGTAGTTATTGTAAACAAAGCTACTTGGTAGCTTATGATCTGAAAAGAAAGAGCTGTAGACATCAGAAGCAAAGCTTCAGCTACTGGTATCCAATTAGGGTTGTAATCTGTAGATGTGTACAACACAAAGCTTTGTGGACCACACAACGGTCTCTTCAGGCGCTCACTCTTGTAGAGAGCAAAAGTTTCAGAGCACCATCTTGCAAAAATCCATTTACCACTAGATTCAGTTTGGGTCTCTGTGACCAATCAATGCTAAAAATTAATCTCTGTTAGGGAATCACTTATGGGCTCTATGCAAGTGAGCCTCATTCCCGATTCCTCATCAAAGGAACAGGAATTACCTAGTCCATTACCAGGTTAAGCCACCCAACCTCTGAAGGAAGTCTTTGGAGCTCCTTGTTAGAGAAGTGTTTCTATCACAAATTTTCTACAGTAGTATTTACACACTCCACGTAGTCTTACAAAAATTCCTGAGAGTCTTTAGTGGATCATTCCAGACTCTAGGTAATGCTCATGTCTTCCTTCCCCTCACTTTAATGCCCACTGCATTTCCACTCCTACTCTTCTTTCTTGGAATGTGTCAAATAAAAAGCAAATCCTGACATAGTAAGGGGAGACTTCATTTGAAAGAATTATTGCAAGGAAGAGGGGGTGAGTGACCACTGCTATATGTGGAGGTGAGCTATCGCAATAGGGAGAACACTTTGACCATAGGAGTGCAAGCACGTCAAGGATTAGGCAAAAAGTGTTTCCCTTTTAGAGGAAGGGGTAAAAAGGCTAGAAAGAAGCAGATATGGGGAAGTGAGATGAAAGGGTGGCAAATTCAGATAGTAGACCAGAGAACGTTTTACCCTGTAGTCGGCCTATTTTCAGGAGGGGGTATTAAGGAGATGCTCTCTGCTGGCTGAAGTTCAGGGACCGGGGGAGGGAGCGAACTTAACCACCACAGTGTTAACAAACTATTTTTCCAATTGATCTATGGGGACAAGCAGTTCAGCTAATCATCTGTGAGATAAAGAATGGGAATTTAGGGAGAGTCTGTGTGTGGCCTCATCGTACATAAAGGAGCGGGAGCATCTGTGCCTCGTATCTAAGTCATATGGGGAGGGGTGGATTTTTGGCAGAAAGCTATTTCCAAAACACGAAAGGGTGGGGGAATTTTTAAACTTTGCTGTTTTCCAGGATCATAGGACTCAGGGAAAGTTCAACATTGTCCATTGACGTTAATCAAAGACAAGTTGACTTTGGGCAACGTGATAAGGAAATGCAGCTTTAGTATGATGAGGGAATAAGCCAAAAACTCTGCCTTCCATGTGGCTTGGATTGATGGGGGTTCTTAGATGTGCCGAGTCTAGGTAAAAGGAAGCTTAACGATTCAAGTCAGATTAGAATTCTATACACAGATTTGGAACTAAACAATAATAAGAGAATGCATTTTTCTAACCCTATCTTCTGTGCCTCTGTCTTCCCCTGGTGACCTATAAGGACATCTAAGTCTTCAGTCATCAACTGCTTTAGGCTCTTGCTCATCTCTTGCTTTTTACTTTGGAGACGCATCTGACATGGGGTAAATAGAAAAGAAAGAATCTAACAGTATTTTAGGTTCAGAGGTTAAGTCTTTGGCAGAAATGTACAGAGCATCAAGATCTCCTAAATTCCCAGACTCAAGCATTCTAGTAAAAGAGGAAAACTAAATTGTTTTCCTATATTACTGTATCATTACGAAAGGTAAATAGCCCACTGTAGCTGGAGTATCTGCCTCTGGCTCAGGAAAAGAAGCAAGAAGATCCACTTCTTCCTCTTGTTTCTTTCCTTAAACTACAGAAGAACAGAGAGGTAGACGGACAGATATACTGGAGATGTCCCTGGGCTAGGCCCTCAGCACACTCACACGCGTAGAGGAAAGAATTCTTCTAGAATCAGTATGTATAGTCAAAATAATGTTAATTTACCTGCCCTGGATCAACATACGACTTTCAGAAGGTAATCTGCTACCTTGCCTCACCCAAAACGATATCCATTATTAACAGAAGTAAGAACAGATTAATGAAAGAAAATATAATAAGGCAACGTAGGTGTTAAGGATATTAATGAAACGCACTTAAGTAATTTGTCCACTTCTAATAGCTTAACAATTAAGCTATCACCATATTGCCTGAGACAAAAGAAATAATATTTTTGTTGTGCCCCTTCCCCAAATCTCTGCAGAAACCAAGTTCAAGCACTATAATCACTAAATTCACCTTTTTATTGGGAAAATAACACATAAAAATGAAATAGAAATGATAGAAATAAAACTTCTAAGCTGGCAACTGACTTTATTACTGTTAAATCATATGAATAATTTCTAATTGATTTGTATTGGGCAGGAATCTTATATTCCAGAACCATGTTCATCTATTTATCATAATATTCTATATGACACATGGAAACGAATACATTGCTTCATTAATATTTACAGTCTTTCTCTAGTTATGGCCCAGAGATATTTAACATTCTAAAACATAAGCATTGCTAATTACATGTTTTACATTTTACTCTTAATTTTTAATACTGCCAGGATTATTTAGTATAACTAACTTTTTAACCATGTACTCTTTTCTCTCTTTACCATTAGCATATCAATCAAATTTGCATTATTCTGGTTTGCTCATTTTATTAAAAGCGAATTCAGGGCACAATTGACTTTTCATTTGTTTAACAAGTGAAGAAATATTTACCCTGACAGCCATTTCATTGTAGAGATTCATCTTCATAGTATAATATGCTAACTGTGAATCAAGAAAAAAAAGATGGCATATATTTCAGTTACAGAAAGACACTGCAGCCTATTTTTACATATAAAAGATAAGAATCTTTATACATAATACATAATAAGAGTTCTAGGCTTAGAAAAATGAAATCAAACTTTGTATTGAAGAGATAGGCTTCCTAATACATAATGCAGGCTTAACCAGAAAAATCTATGGTAGTCAAACTAGGAGCTAATGGAGATATATGATCATAAAGTGCTCTCCGCTGAGTTTGATAATCAATGGTGCTCTACTGAGGATAGAATAACAAAGCAGAAATATTCACAAGTGCTGGTGACACGCAGTATTGTATGATTTATTCACTGGGGTTCTTTTAGCCAAAACTCACAGAAACATAAAAGGAATTCATATTTCAAGACGTCTGGTTTAATGAAAAATTCAAAGAAATGCTGTCTTCAGTCGAAATCGTTCAAGGATATGGATGCAGTGATGGAGCAAAATTGTGCCTTCCAACCATCTGTACAAAATGTTATGTACTTAGATGCCTCCTGAGTAATCCTTGGGAATTTTGTTTCATTTAATATTCATTTTAACACCATAAAATCATAAATACAATAATATCACGTTACAGCAAATCCCCTGATATAGTGAAGGCTTCCTAAAGTCTTGGTTTCTTTCTAGTAGAGACACATTTATCTATTAATATACAAATCTCTATTACAGTAAATAATCGTTTAGCAACATAACTTATTTCAATGAAAATATTGCTTTAAATAAAGCTTCCACATATGTTCTATCTTTTAATTAAAAATGTAAAATTAACACAACTCGATGTACGATAAACAGTAAAAGCAATGAAACATATTTTTTCAACACAAAATACAACTTCATCCATTTTTATTCACTCAAAATTCATTCGACTAATATAATCTGAGCCCAGGTGATAGATGTTACGTTTCAGATAAAAAATCAGAGAAGAGTGCCTTACCGGGTAATAGATGCTACATTTCAGACAAAAAATCAGAGAAGAGTGCCTTAATCTTTTACCTCGGGGTTTTCTTCCCCACGACAAATAGGAATTCATATAAAAGGGTTTCACTGTAATTAGTATTGTTTGAATTGTCTGGTCTGAGCCACAGCAAATTGTCTGTGGAGAGCAGAAGGGCTGGATTATTTATCAACAGTCTGAGTAATTAAGAAACAGTTGGCTGCAATATGTTATTTACAAATGAACACAATAATGTTACTTCATTTTAAATTCTCTTTCTTTGTTATAGCAAGCGAGGCATAATTCTTGGTATTTGAGGTGAATTTAAAATATTGACTTTAATATCGTATTTCTCCAAGTCCTCTTGAGGCAAATATAACCACTAAATATTTTTATACAGAAGAAACACATTGGAAATTATATATTTGAAGACGTTTGGGTTCCAAAAAAGATAACTGTTTCTAATCTTTATCACATTGTTGTTCAGGTAGCAGTGGTGAGTGTGTCTGAGTTTTCGAGCCACAGATCTGAGTTCAATTCCTGACATTGTTTTTTTTTTAAAAAAAAAGATTTGAAATTGTATTTTATTCATGTAGGTTGCATTGACGTCAGTGAGGTATTATTCATGACTGTTAAAAATTATGAGCTAACCTAATGCCCAGCAAAGCCAGGTTTCTTTTTAAGTGTTAGTACTTTTATTTTTTGTTTTTTATTTTTTAAATTTATTTTATTGCAGTAACATTGGATTATAACAGATAGTTTTCAGATGTACATCGTAATATATTTCAAATTCTGTGTAGATTACATCATATTCACTGCCCAAAAACTAATTATAGTCCATCACCTCACATGTGAGTCTAATCACCCCTTTCACCTTCCTCCCCTCCCCCCTTGCCCTATGGTAACCAGCAATCCAATCTCTGTTGCTGTGTGTTTGTTTGTCTTTGTTTTTATCTTCTATTTATGAGTGACCTGACAGCTGTGTGGCTTTGAACAAGTTATGTAAAGTCTCTCAGTCTTGATTTCCATCCTTACAAAATGGGTCATTACCTACTTCATAGAGTTGTTGTGAAGATTAAAATTCGATAAAGTATTTAAGGGGCTTGGGACATAATTGATGGTCATTACAAACGGGATTATCAGTAGTATAGTTACACGTTTTGTGGCTAAAAGTAAGTAATTTAGCTGTAAGTAAAATTCCAAAACGAATAAGAGGTTACATTTTATTCTGAAAGAAGAAGAGAGAGAGATATAGCTTTTAAGCCTGAGAATTCTGAATTTTACAGGTAAAAGGTGGAAGAGCATTTTTTTTTTTTGGTGAGGAAAATCGGCCCTGAGCTAACATCTGTGCCAATCTTCCTCTATTTTGGATGTGGGACACCGCCACAGCATGGCATGATGAGCGGTGTGTAGGTCCACACCCAGGATCCGAACCTGCAGACCCCAGGCTGTGGAAGCGGAGTGCACAAACTTAACCACTACGCTATCTGGCTGACCCCTGGAAAAAAGCACTTTGATTCCATTGTATCATTCCCATGTGAACCACCAACTGATATTATATTTATTCTCAATTCACTAGGCCAGATACTTTTGAAAGTACCAAAAATACATATGCAAGAAAAATATTGTATGAGTCCACTCATATGAGGTACCTGGAACAGTCAAATCCACAAAGACGGAAAGCAGAACAGAGGTTACCAGGGGCGAGGGGAAGAGGGGAGTTACCGTTCCATTTGAGATGATGGAAGAGTTTTGGAGATTAGGATTAGGCAGAGGAAAGGGAATTATAGGTAGATAATAAAAAGAAAAGCAGAGACACAAAATCACAGGAACCAGAGGAGAAAACCGATGTGAAGCTTGGAGTCGTCAACAATCACAAACGTGGCAAAGGTCACACAGAAGGTGGACTGTACAAGGACAGAAGTGCTAGGATCACTTTAGACAGGTTCTGTATTTTTTGACAGCATTTCAGACAGTTTTTCAGCATTTGAACATGAAATCAACCACTTGTTAGCTGTATGGCCTTTGTCACATCACCTAGCTCAATTTTTAGGTTTCTGAAATTTTTTTCTGGAGAACGTATTCCTTTTAAGTACATAATCAGGGGCTGGTCCAGTGGCACAGGGGTTAAGTGCGCATGTTCCGTTTCGGTGGCCTGAGGTTTGCCAGTTCGGATCCCGGGTGTGGACATGGCACACATCAAGCCATGCTGTGGTAGGCGTCCCAAATATGAAGTAGAGGAAGATGGGCATGGATGTTAGCTCAGGGCCAGTCTTCCTCAGCAAAAAGAGGAGGATTGGCAGCAGTTAGCTCAGGGCTTATCTTCCTCAAAAAAAAAAAAAAAAGAATCAATTTTATGAGTGGTTAATCCATGAGGACCTTTTGGACAAAGTGGTTATTCAGTGGGATTGGACCATGATCACTGATGGGAACATGAGTTTCTTCCTTTTTTTTCTTTCTATCAGATGAATTACAGTGGGGGGAAAATAAATGAGAACCACTCTCCTAGAGGTCAAGTGACATTCAAAGCTCACCACAATCAGGTCCCAATTTTTTTCCAATTGTGTCTCATCACTCCATTCCTTTAAACCTCAGTCTGATCAATTATTATTTTTTCTTCTTCACCTCCACGCTCCTGTTACTCCCCTTGTCTGAAATGTCTTACCATTCTTTTCTAGCTATCTAAATCCTATCTCTTCAGTTTTTCTTGCAAGCATTTATGAGAAACTACCTTTCTCCCCCATTCCAAGCAAAAGCAACTAGAAGAAGCTGGCATTCCCCTAGCTCCAATGGATACTTTCAAACCACAGGCAGTACTCCTTTAAAAACCACAATGACAACAAAAAACCAAAAAACTTACTTCTTAATCTCAAGCTTTTCACATTTATCACTCTCTATCCCATTTTGGCGTTGTCATTCCTCCTCAGGTCTCCAGATTATACTATCCTTCTTCTCGCTTCCTTCTTGCCTCTCTTTGACCTACTCCAACCATATGATCTAAAGATTCTGACACGAAGCTAAAGGTCTTACTCTTCATGGCAACTCCTGCCATTATCTTGATCCAACAAATTCATGTAGACAACACATTCAACCACGTAATCTCACAAGGGCCTGCCTTTCTCAGTCCCAACAGCCTCCATTTCAGTCTAGCCTTACATTCCCATAGCCACATTCCAGACCTTGAGAACTGAAAATGTTCCTCCTCTTAAATCTTGAACTCAGATTCCAAATTCCTCTCCTTAAAGCCCTGGTGGCTTAATTTCTATTAAAGGCTCTTGCACCTAGTTTAGACAGATCTAGTATACGTATTTCCTCTTCCTCAGTTTTAAGTTCCTCCTTCACATAGTTTTATATACAATGGCTACATGAGCATACCATAAATTATTTAATTTTTCTTTTATTTTTGAGCATTTAGGTGGGAGACCAGGAAAAGATGAGTTTCACAGAGAAAATGGTCAATCATTGTAAAGTAATACATATTTATAACAATTTTGAATAGTACATCTATATAAACTTGACGAGATCAACTGGCTTCATTTACTAGATTGGGCAACACAGAGGAGATATTTGCAGTAAGGTGATGACCATGGAAACTTGAGAAGCCATATCCATAAAGATAACAGATCTGATGAACCTGAGTCCTTGTTAGTTTCCACATCAGTGCCATCCTCATTTAATAATTTTGAGTATAATCATTAAAATCACATTATCAAATAATCACGAGTACTTTGTGCATATGCTTTGCCTGTTTGCTGGTAACTGATACCAATCTGGCCATTATCAAAACAGCTGATTGTTAAAATAAACTTTCTTTTTCCACAGAAAAAACTAAAAGCCAATTATATGATTTCTCGTAGTTACTTATTAATATAATCTTTGAAAGCAGGTGAACCAAATCTAAATTAATTTCACAATTGGAATGAAAATATGTTAGTAAAGTTTTGAATTAATATTAGTAAGTCAGAGTCTTAAGTTATTCAGCCTGGTATTTATGTAAAATGAAAGACCCAAAGGGAAAAAATATATTATG